TGTTGGATTAATAAATAAATAATGCATTACTTTTACACACACACACACACACACACACACACACACACACACATATATGTGTGTGTGTGTGTGTGTGTGTGTGTACCAAACATACAACAAAATTGTCCAAATCGTGTGACAGCAAAATTGTCCAATTCTTAGACAAGATTTGAACCGTTGTAACTTAGAAATGATTAAAGATATTTTACTGGAATTCTCCGTGGTTTTTTTATAACACTATTGGACTCTACGTTGGACAGTAAGAATGTATAATTACTCTCTAAGCTTAACAGAAGTATTGTGATGGAATCGATCATAAACAAAAATAACATATTCATTATTAATTAAACATAGCTAAGGATCAGAAGCTCATGAAGGATTGAAATAAATTTCAAAGGCTGCCTGACGATTGCGTCCAGCATGAAACAGCCTGTCGCCTCTGAGTGTTGACTTCAGTGTTCAATTTTATATTTATATACGCTCTATCTCTGATATTGAGCACTGTATCCCATAAATATAGCACATCTTAAAACTATATTTTTCCTATATATATATATATATATATATATATATATATATATATATATGTTATTCAGGATCCTTTTCCAACTTATTTAAGATGATCTTCGATCATTCTAACCGTCTAACTTTCTTTTCTGGGGTAACAAAGTGCTTCACACGTTTCACGTAAGATTTCATTTTTAAATCTTTTTCATTGCTCTTCAAACTGTCATAGCTGAAACTCTTCTCTCACGTGTCAAACGTCTTATGGATTGAGTTGGATCTTTTCTAATTGATCTCTTTAGCTCTAAGTTGAAATGATGATCCCTCTTCCTGATGTGACCTCCTGATCCAATTTTCCTCTCTACTGTTGCCTCTTTTTAAAACTTATTCACTGTTCTCCTGATGGTTCTTGAATGGACTTTAAAGATGGAAGCCAGAGTAAGAAAGTTCGTAACATTACTGAAGGTCTGAATGATCTTTTTCCGCTCAGCATTACTCAGCTGGGAAGACAGTGGTGGGGGCTGACCCAAAATGATTTAACCTGTTCACTTTGTAGCTGAATAACTCAAAGGCTTTTTTTTAGTGACTCTTACGACAAATGGTATCAAGATGGCTAAAAGTTTTACCTGAAAATTTTGAAAAAAGAAACACAGTTAATTTAGTGGTTTTTAGATTTTAAACATTTTGTGCTAATTGTGTTACACGACTTGGACAATTTCCTGTTACACCCGGCATATATATATATATATATATATATATATATATATATATATAAGTAACGAAAATCTTGGTAATCCGTATGGATAATCCTAAGGAGGATGAAATCCTGAGAGCTCAATGTTAAGTCAGAGCGAATAATTTAATTTAAATGAAAAACAGACCTTTTTAAGGCTCCGTTGTAATAATTTATTTCACCAGAGAATTTTATTTTTCTCTGGATCTTCAAACTTCACTTTCAAAGGTGAAACGAAAAATTATATATATATATAATCTATATATATATATATCAAACTGAAAAAAGTTTTTAAAAAGAGTTTTAATAGAAAGATTTTATAATTTCAACCGAAAACAGTACTGGCACCCGGTTAAAGAATGCCAAATGTTTCCTTATAAGGAAGCGGCTAATACTACCTTTACTTTTAACATATACGTACTAGTTGTGAAATGAAGGGAAGTCGGTAAGGAAGAAACAGACCCTTCGCAGGTCTTTTGTTTCGTGTTAATAGTTTAGAGAAAGATTTTATAAATTTCAATCGAAAACCGTACTGGCTACTCGGTCACTGAATGTCAAATGTTTCCTTATAAGGAAACGGCTAATACTATTATTACCATTCAATAAATAGACGTTAATATACTTTCGATTGTAGATTTTCATTGCATAAGGTTATTAAACTGTTTTCATATACTCGAATTGGTTCTCTGTACGTTTTTTCGCTAAATCGGGAATTCAGCGGTTTCTGGCATAATGTCTCGTACTTGGAACAAGTTCAATTCAACATTCGTCTGATAATATAACCCTTTTTTTTTTAGTCTGTGACTGTCCATTCACATTTGGAAGCACGTCACGTCTTGTCTCCATTTCCTTTGTTTTCTGGCTGCAATTCGGCCAAATAAATTATTTCGTCGCTGGAAATGTTCGATGACATGTACACCCACGATATTTGTCACATATTGATCCAAGAGAAGGTGACTGTCGCTTTGTTTCGGTTTTTCGCCTATCTAGTGACAATTTTTCAGCAAAAGTAGATAAAGGTGCCCGCAAATAGGATGTTTTTTTTTCCCATGACACCGGTTTTGTGATAACTACCTTCCCTCCTCGGTAATGTTTGTTGTTTTAAAAAGTGATGATTAGAATTGAAATAAAACAAGGTAGCTCCAATAATTCGCTAAAAATCAGTTTAGCACATTGATAAAAGGCCCCAAACTTAATAAAAACAAAGTTTTATCGTCAAAATGTTTATGTTATTATTAAGAGGAAAGAACAAAGTATTTTTTTAATTATTTAAAAAAAAAATTTCCTTCTTTCTAACACGTTCTAAATTTGGGTCATAAATTTCGTTTTTTTTTTTGTTTTTTTTTTTAACTTTATACTACTTGTGGTAATGGCCCTTTTAGTGTAGCAGTTTCCGGGGGAAAACCCATTAATTTGGAAATGCTTTTAAAAATCAAATAATTGTCTGATTTTAATGAAACTTTCAGGACTTATTCAAAAACGAATTAATTTATTTTTGAAATTTTTATTTTTAGAAAATATTGGTAAAAATATTTTTTTACATCTGAACCAATTAATTTTATGAAATTTTCTAGAATTTCCAAGAGTATGCAAAATTGTTTTATATTACTTATAAGCAGGATTCCTTAAAGAAAGTAAATCATCAATTTTTTTTCACAACTACAGTCAACTTTTAAAAAATCTGCTCCAAATCGTAAAATAAAAACTGCAATAAAACTATCTAATTCGATAGGCTTTTATTTGCTTTTACAAATAATATACATTAAGGACATTATTATCTGAAGAAAAAGAAATTTTCGATGAATAAAGAATTTTTACAAGAATTGTTTGCATTTTTCTTTTAGTTTTTTCATTTTTCTTTAATTTTAAAAAATCTTTTAAAATTCGTTCAGAGTACGAGTTAGGTTATTAAGTTTTTAAGTGAAGACTGTATTTACTAAGCGAAAATTAAAAGTTTAATGCAAATCATGCTACCATAATTAAAGATATTTTTTGTGAGTCAAAATGTTATATTTTTTTAGTATAGTATCTCGTAAATGACATTATGGTTAAAGGGTCACATGTTTCAAGGCTTGTCTCCCTCTTAGGAAAAGCCCCTTGACATATAAAGGTCTTCGACTTATCTCACTCTCAGTTATTAAAAATTAAATTGAGATAATAAAATTATCTCATTTATCAATTTAAAGAAGTAATAACTGAGTGAGATAATTTAATTATTAATATAATAATATTAAAGTGGGGATCCGAGCCTGTAGGCTCGGGCAAAAATTCCCTATGGACCACGTAAAAACGGAGTCAGTTTCCCGAGACGAGACTCTGCCCTTCGGCAGAACCTCGTTTGGGGGATACCCTCTGACATAAGCCAGTTGACCAACTATGTTATGACACAAAATGCCACCCTAGTGAACTTTCGACCCAGGTGATGGTTGGCGTGACTCGTGAATGTCCGAGCTAGCCCGATCGAATATAAAAAAAGAAAAAAAGATCCATTTTACACGAGTGTGAAAATGGGAGACATGGTTTACACTATAGTCAAAAAGGTAGGTACAGATCCGCCTTACATTAGAGTAGAAAGGAAAGTTACCGTCCAAAAGCTAAGAAAAGTATTAAGAAACGAAAAAACTTTTGTTAGAAACAAAGAAAAAGATACTCAACTGTTATGGAATATCAGTCCTCCTATATGGCAGTGAATGCTGGGAAATTTCCTCACAGATCAAAAGGAGGCTTGAGGCAACAGAGATGAGGATCTACAGAAGTATTTAGGGAATACAAAGAAAAGAGTGCTGGACTGCTATGTAATATCAACCCTCATATATAGCAGTAAATGCTGGACAATTTCCTCACGGATGAAAAGGAGACTTGAAGCAGCACAGATGTGGTTCTACAGAAATATGCGAAGAATACCATGGACCGAACATGTGAGCAACGAGGAATTTTAAAAGGATATGGAAACAAAAAGGACACTTATACTTATATCAGGAAGAGGCAGTACAATTTCTAGTGTCATAATGAGAAAAAAGGGCTTATAAAATTTAATACTCACAGGACGGAGTGACGGCAAGAAGACAACGCATAACTTACATAACGACCTTGTGTAAATGGATGTTGTGGCAAGGTTTAGGAGAGATAACAAAAAGACAAAATTTATTAAAATTTGCATAGGACTGGAAATTGTGGATAGCTATTACGTCCTGAAAGGACACTGGGCAAAGAAGAAGAAGAAGAAGAAAAAAGAATAAGAAGAATAAGAAGAATATGGTGTGCAACAAATTTATAAACGGTACTCTGATAGTTAAGGATTTTCGGGTTGATTATAATCTGGTAGTAAAAGCGTATTATCTGACGAATGAAAACTCGGCAAACATGGACCTTTTTGCCGGCGATAAGACGCAGTGTCAAAAGGACGGATTTTCCCATGACACCGCTATTATTTTAACTACCTTCACTCCTCACTCATTTATTGTTTTAAAAAGCGATGATTAGAAGAAGAATAACATCCTGTTTACAAGAGAGATAAAATGGTAGGCATAGATCAGGTTTACACTAGGATGAACAAGATCCGGTTAACGCGAGAGTCAAAATGAGACAAAAGGTCAAGTTTGCACGTGAGTCAAAAAGGCCTATATGTATCTGGTTTCCACTAGGGTAAAAAAAAAAAGAAAGAAGATCCGATTTAAACCTGAATCAAAATGATAGACATAGGTATGACTCACATTAAACTTAAAAGTTTGACTTTTGGGGTGGGGTCTTATATCCTCGTCAGATGTTGGCAGTCAGAATTCTGAATTCTAATCTAATTCTACGACCCCACCATCCTATCAACGGACTTTGGATGCAACGGACAAAATCTACAGGCAAAATAAAAAAAATCTACAGGAAAAAACTTCCAAATCGTCAGCGATGTATTTCAAAATTTGCGGTCTTAGCGGAACGAGTCGTATTAGTTCTCAAAGTGACCACTTGTCGGCTGTAGCGGGCCTTTCAACTGTAAACAAAAACGGGTGTACAGTATATAAAGTGCGATACATTACCGCGTGCACGAGAAAGTAGCAAGAAATCTATTAATTTTTTTGTTATTTTGATTAATATATCTATATTAAGTATATATTTATTTATGCCATATATACATGTTTATAGGATTTACATTATTATCATAACTACTGGTAGTTACTATAGCGGTTTTATAAGTCAAAAATAATCCCTTTCCATCTACGGACAATCGGCTTTAACGCCGCCTCATTAGTCCGTTAATAAGAGGTTTATCTGCATAGTTAATCTCTAAATTAAGTGGTTTGCCAATGAAGCATATTATGTTGAAATATGCATATTTGTTGTGAAAAGGAAATTCTTTTTTCCAGCATTAGGCCACAATCATTAGATGCATCTTCGTATATATATTAATACCGCGCGTGCGCACACACACACACACACACAAACAACGTTCAGGGTAAGACGATAAACTACATCCAACAGCAAGGCCTCTGATCAGGAGGTTTTGAGGAGCGTGAAACCACCTCTTAATTGCTAGTGTTTCCAGGTCCACCCTGACCCGGGGTGGTAGCACCTGTTAGGGTCCCAGCTATGGGCAAATACATATTACCTACAAAAGGGGTCAAAACACTATGAAAGTATAAAATATAGGTTTTAATAACAGCAATACTTTTTTGAAAAAATTATTATCAGCAATACACTATTAACAGTAATACATATTTGAAGGAAAAAAATATTACTAACAATACATTTTTCAAAAAAAAATATTACTAGCAATAAAAATCTTGTCGGCATTAAATAACCCGTTGAGGTTGATATGCCGTAAAACAAACCAAACCAAACCAATATATACTGATATGTATATATATATATATATATATATATATATATATATATATATATATATATATATAGATAGATAGATAAAAAACATTACCAGTAATAAAAATCTTGTCGACATTAAATAACCTGTTGAGGTTGATATGCCGTAAAACAAAACAAAACAAACCAATATATACTGATATATATATATGTATATATTATTTTTTCGATGTACCGCATTATTTTCTTGATTTTTAGGTTCATATCTGAAAATATATTTTTCAAGGTCTGACTTATTTCAGTTAACGTGGGCCATTATCAATGACTAAGTTGTTTTGTTATGCAATCTGTTTCATTTTTAAATATAGCATTTCACATGTTCAAGTTACTGTTCGTTTCTTTTAATTATTTTTTTTATTGAAATAAAAAGAAAAATTACAATTAAGGAAACTTAATAATAATATTTATAACAAAATTACAGAAATTAAGAAGACGGAATACAGCCATTGGATTTATATTTTGGCTGAAAAGCAAGAAACAGGAAGAGAGTTCCACATGCGAGAAATGCGAGAGAAGAAACTGTTAGGATAAACTTACGGTTACATCTAACAGTTACAACTGTTATATAATGGGACCTTGCCGCCAATCTAGTACTGCGCTTCAATTCATAAAGTCTTGGTACCAAAGAGGAAAGCTCATCAGAACAATTAGCATGAAAATATTTATAGAAAAGACAGAGGGAAGCCATATTACGGCTTCAATTCATAAAGTCTTGGTACCAAAGAGGAAATCTCATCAGAACAATTAGCATGAAAATATTTATAGAAAAGACAGAGGGAAGCCATATTACGGCTCCAATTCATAAAGTCTAGGTACCAAATAGGAAATCTCATCAGAACAATTAGCATGAAAATATTTATAGAAAAGACAGAGGGAAGCCATATTACGGCTCCAATTCATAAAGTCTAGGTACCAAATAGGAAATCTCATCAGAACAATTAGCATGAAAATATTTATCGAAAAGCCAAAGGGAAGCTATATTATGGCTTAAATTCATAAAGTCTAGGTACCAAATAGGAAATCTCATCAGAACAATTAGCATGAAAATATTTATAGAAAAGGCAGAGGGAAGCCATATTACGGCTTCAATTCATAAAATCTATTTACCAATGAGGAAAGCTCATTAGAACAAACAGCATGAAAATATTTATAGAAAAGGCAGAGGGAAGCTATATTATGGCTTAAATTCATAAAGTCTAGATACCAAAGAGGAAATCTTGTTGCAGGCCCGGTAGGGTGCAGTGCTGGTTTATTACTAAGTGGCCTTGTGCCAGACACCACACTAAACTACCGAGTCTACAAGCAAAGTAAAAAGATAAAAATGTGTGAATGAACTACGAAGTAATGTGGGTAGTCCACATGTGCATAAAATACAAAATATATTAAGATAGCCGGCACAGAATGACTGAAAAAGACTGGATTCCAACAAGAGTAATTTTTATTAAATGCAGGAAAAACAATTAACTTATCCCGTAGTAGGGATCAATGAAAATATTCCGCGCCAAAATAGAAAACGAGATGGCTAAGGCGGGAAAGTTCTTGAAGAAGAAGAAGGTTCCAGATAAGTCAATGTACATGATAATATACATACAAGGAAAAATACTCACTGCGATTTTTTTGTTAATGTGAGTGAAAAGTTATGTATATATTTTTTTTCTTTTTTTGGTACTGGTTCAAAACAGATTTATGACGAGGCCAAAAGGGACGAAAAGTTAATACTTGGAGTTACTTCGTCTCGTAGAAGAATTTTGAATGACGAGCCAAAGGGGACGAAAAGTTAATACTTGGAGTTGCATCGTCTCGTAGAAGAATTTTGAATGACGAGCCAAAAGGGACGAAAAGTTAATATTTGTGGTCGCATCGTAAGAATATCCTTCGTCAGTCAACCTAAAATATTGACATGGATAAAAATGAGTCTGCCCAGGTCCGAGTCTGGATCACAACTAACATTTCTGAAACAACCGTTTGTCCGTGACGTCACAAATTTCGCGGGAAGATTTCAAAAATCTAATTTGCATAAACATGACTAGCAGGTCGCTTGACTGACGACAAAACAGTTACTACTGTATTAGACCGAAAGAGGCAGAAAGGGGTGTCAAACGCGCGCGTGCACACAAGAGTGTGGAAGAAAGGGAGGAAACTCACGCGCGCGTAAAATGTTGTAGATGGAATAATACACTATTCCACAAGCTCATTAGAACAATTAGCATGAAAATATTTATAGAAAAGGCAGAGGGAAGCTTCGTTACGGCGGTGAGAAACTAACTTTAAGTCTAGATACCAGGATTTTTGACATTGCAGATTCTTCATTGGATTTTATTAACGATCCCTAAATACATAGCAGAAGCACTAGCAAAATTCAAAGCATGGCCGAATGATAGACTTATAAATATGTAAGATAGATTCTGTAGAGAAAAATTGTCTTGCTCGATATAGTGAACCAATTTTCCTAGCAGCTGACGTGACAGTTAGTTGAATTTGATCTTTCCACGTCGTATCAGCAGAAAAAAAAACCGTAGTCCAAAAATGTGCAATGAATCACTCTCACAGTGATTAACATCAGCCTTGATAATGGGAGACGGAAAAGGGTTCTCTCTGATGATGAAAATGTATATATTCTAAAGAATTAATGCATTTATTATTAACCCGATAGTTTTGTTACTTCAAACTTTATTATAGTGGATATTCGTATTTGAAATAGACGTCCTATTTTTATTTATTGCGTTTACAATGCGCACCAGATCAAACGGTGGTTTTCTCTACAAAGGAAGACGCATGTTCGTTCCCTACTGGAGAACACATTTTCTTTATAAGGATTTCTCGAATGCACAGGCCGATAGGCGTATTGCGCATTGTTCTATAAATAATAAATGGGGCGTCTATTTCAAATACGAAGCATCTGCTTGAAGTAATATATATATATATATATATATGTGTGCGTGTGTGAAAAGTGTATATAAATATAAATAAATATATATATGTATAATTATTTATATATTATATGCGCGGCACTTATTAGAAAGCGCTCAATATCAGAGATAGAGTTAACATATTTGGTTGGATAGATGTGAGTTTGTGACAAAATTTCTACCTGCTACATATACACAGTCACCAAAAACAAACAAATAACCAGCTTTAAATATAACAAATAAACCCCCAATTTTTTTTTTTTAATTTAAAAATAAATATAAATAATAATAATTTTTACCTGTCATAATTTTACACAAACCCCACCACACGTATATACATACATGCGACGAAATATTTTTCAGCGGAAAAATACATAATATGACATGTATACATTCACGAGACATTAACGAGACATTTCCGCCACACTTCCAATGTTTAAATTTCAACATTTCAACATACAAATGCGTATGTATAGACATAACACCACCCGTATACATACATATGTCATAGCCGAAACTGCCCACATATGTTTATATATGTATGAGTCCCGACGGACGACCAAGTATGTATATGTGTCTGCATACATCGATGTTTGCGTTAGTACGATGAATGACAAAACGACGAAGTTTCAACTCACCACTTCCACAATAACACCAATACACGCAATCTACATAAACCCAAATTTTTTAAAACATTAATCAGTTTGTCTGACGATCGCTAAAGCGTGAAACCCAAGGTCACAAACTCACATCTATCTATCCAAATATATATATATATATATATATATATATATATATATATATATATATATAAAGGGTGTTTCATTAAGACGGATCAAAGTCATAAGTAAATAAATCAATGTTATTGGTGAAAGTTTATTTCTCTAGTGGATCATGTTATTTAAGTCATGGCAATTATGTGTGAAAAATAATATCGTTCAAATGTCCGCCAAGGCTTCGGCGGCACACCGCCAATCGATGGTCAACATTT